TGTTGATTGTGTCTTTTCTTTATTGCTTGGTTACTGAACTCTCCTTTCACCGAGGACATATGCAATGTCTTCCACCATCAATAGGCACTTGTGCTCCCGTAATAAAGGAGGAATCATCAGAAGCCAAAAATGCAATCATACCGGCTACTTCCTGTACTTCTCCGGGTCTTCCTAAAGCATGTGTAATCTTTGTCCTTTCCAAAAACTGAAAATAAAAGCGTCACAACATTAAGACATTACCAAATGAAGATATGAAAAATAGCCTGACATTTAAAAAAAAATAAGAACATTACTTAGCCATAGGAAGAACCATCCAACTTCTGTAACCCCCCCTTTTTCTTTCAATATCTTTATTATCTTTAATTATCTAAAAAAAAAACAACAAATATTATGATGGAATCCCTAACATATTACATGTAAACCCCACTATGATGTATGAGGGTCTGGATGGGGTTTACAGAATAGAGAATAATGAACAAAATGTGCAGAATTAAGGGGAAAAACTAATATAATATAGTAAAATAGGCAAAAAATAAAGAATAGAGAATAATGAGCAAAATTTATAAAGGATAGAGAAAAATTGCTTAAAAAATTAAAGAATACAGAATTGAAGGACCCCCCCCCCCCCCCCAAATCAAGAACATCATGTATAGGTATGATCATATTATTTTCTGGTGAGGTAGAATAATTTTACAAAAAGGGTGAAAAAATAAGTATGTGTAGCAACCGATGAATATTATTTAATTTTAAAAAGTCCTCCTGAATCTTCCCCACCCCCCCCCCCCCCCCCCCCCCGTTCCGTAATATCAATTGGTCGTCCAATCGTTAATTTGCTTATGTATGATATGAATAAATAATAATATGACAACATTTTTTTTTTTGAAGTGAGAAAAAGATAACACGCTTAATGGCATTATAATGACATTGAATATATGAGAATCGTAAAGGTCATTACTCTATATTCAAATTCCATTTCAATTTTGAAAATGTTTGAGCAAGAAAAATATAACGTTACACTATCATATCATTTACAGTGTGTGTAACGGAGGGCCGGGTTTACAGCCCCCTCACGCCACCACACACACAAACCCGGCACACTTGCTGTTCGGCCCATGGAAATATGTGTTAACATACTTTTTGATAAGCTTCTTTCATCCATTCCACCTCTCTTGTGTATTTCTGTTTTTATCACTCCTGGACTGTCGAAAGAATAAAATTACAATAAACGTATATAAAGACTTTGAGTGCTGTTCTGCACAATTTGTAATATGCATGCATTTTCCCTGTAACTTTCTTTATTCCAGTATCGACCGTGCAAGACCTTCATGGGTAGTCAATGTCTTTAAAAATCACCCTCATTCATTCATTCCATTGAAAGATCTAATAAGGTGGAGTGTTGCATACTCCAAAGACATGTCTTAGGGAGCTACCATTTGATTTTTAGGGGGGGGGGGGGGGGGGCTAGGATGAAATTTGAAAAAAAATAGGCAGGACAGGAGTTTTGAGTAAAAAAAAAGGCAGGATGAGATTATTTGCCAAAAAAAAGGCAGGATGACAATTTATGTAAAAAAAAAAGTCAGGATAAACTAAAAAAAAAAAAGTCAGGATAAACTAAAAAAAAAAGGCAGGACCGAATAGAGAGAAAAATAAAAAGGCAGGACAAAATTTTTCATCCTAGCAAACAAACTGACAATGTCGTGGCAAAAAAAAGAAGAAAAACGGCGAAAAAGACAAATCACAGTATACAAAACACAACATAAAAACTAAAGACTGAGCAACACGAAGTCCACCAAAACCAGGGATGATCTCAGGTGGTGCTCAGAAAGGGTAACCATATCCTGCTCCACGTGGCACCCTGGAGCCTTGACATATGGCATTGAACTCGTGTATCGTAAAAGACGAACATTGTCCCACAGATGGCCTTTTTTCATTGCTTAGCAATGGCTATGATAATCATTAATTTATCTTACATTATTCAAAATAATATCATGTATGGTAACCTTTTTTTTAAACATATGCAATATAACTATTACACTTTTATATTAATATTTGTCTTTTACATCTTATTATTTGAATCAATGAATTATACACAACTCTTTGTTACGAATGTAATCTAAATGTTATTACTACATGGTATCTCATTCAAATCATTAAAGAACTGAAGCGCTGGCCATTGGTGCATACCTGTATAAGCAGTTACTATAGATTTGACGATTAGAAGAAACATATTTTTGTGTGCAGTTTGCTTGTTTGGTTTTTTTTTGGGAAAAAAAGGGTTGGAGACTATTAAAACTACTGACAATTCATGTGAAACTATGAAAAACCAAACTTTTGCCCATATTTGATGCTAGGACCTTGACCTTTCTTCTAATGACATTATCAATAGGGATCTTCTTCTCCCCAAAGGTCAGTATCTACCAAATATTTGGAGAGATCTTATAATCATAGCTCAATATATATTGACCAGAAACGAACTTTCCTAAAATTTAAAATTATCTATTGACACTGTGACCTTGATCTTGACCTTTGACCCAAATTATCAATATGGATTATTCTTCTTCTTTCCAAAGGCATAATTTAAGCTAAGTTTAATAAAGGTTGGAATCAAATAATATTATCAGGAAACTAACCATTTGCCAAAATTTTAGTCAACCAAGGCTGCTGTGGTTTTCACCTTCGACATTTAGTGACAATCATAATCAATATAATAGGGGTATTCTTCACTCCATGGGACATTTTCAAACTAGGTTTGATAAAGATTTTTTGACTCTAATGATTTTGTTCGGAAACAGAAAACATTTCTCTTTTACATGCACAATATATAGAATTTAAATTATATATTGTATAAACTATTTGTTGTGCAGGAGGTTCTCATATGATGAATGGATTCAAAATAAATAATACAAAAATCACAGTTTCATATTGAAGATAAACTTACTTTACGCTGTTTACTCTAATTTGCTTTGAAGCTAGTTCTGAAAAATTAATAACAATAACATTTACATAAAAAACGTTGAAGTATATACCAATGTCAAATAAGATCAACTTATCACTTAGTTAAGATTGAATGGCTTCCTAGTGGCATTTGATAATAGAAAGATGTTCGAGCACGTTTAATAAATATTACGTGGCTCAATATCTTATTTAACCATCATTTTACTGGATGAATGAAAGACTTCATGAAAACGTCTGGTGGCAAATATTACACGCATAATATGACGTGAACATACTAATGTGATTTTCATATAATTACATTACATGTATGTTTTTAATTATAATACGTTATTTTGATTAGCTAACAGCAATCCCACGTCATTCTGAAATTAACCTTCCGGCGGCACATTTTTAGAATGAAGCGCTTCATACAAAATGTATTTCGGTCAACGCTTTTACACCCCAATAGATTTACAAAAAGAAGCATTCAATTCTTAAATGAAACCCCCTGTGTACTAGAAATACACGCTGAGCGGGATTGAAACGTGCTGTTTCACAAGGTTGATGTAACAGTCCACAGAAAGACATATCACCCTACCCGGAAATATCATTTTAACTTCGAGGTGAGCAGTCTTTGCTCTCACTGTCAAATGCATAAGGCCCGTGCCAAGCGGATATGCAGCAAATACCAATTGTCAAGTTTTTAATTTAAATCGTTCTCTGGAATATGTAAAAAAAATTACCTAGTGCTGCACACTTTGTAAACTGATCTACTGCACTTTTGGACATACAGTAAGCTATGACACCAGGGAACTGAAAAAAATACATTTCAATCTGTGTTTTTTTTTTTATTTTGATTTTGCGAACAAAACTTCTAACTATTAGCATAATTATGCCGAGACTTGAAACATTGGATGAGAATTTAATAAAAAAAAACTTAGTAAGGCATATGCTAACATAGATAAGCAGCTGTTTTTGGTCTTTAATTCACAATGATATAGTGCCAGGAAAAATAATTTTGGATGATTTTATAATAAAAAATTATATATTTCGTGAAAAAACCTGATATTTTAAATTGTTTTAACCCCCTTTTGATCCGCCACTGGTCTGAAGGTAAGACGAAGAATTGCATCAAGGCCTTCAACATTTGATTTATAAAGTCTGTCGTGAACAAATAATAATATATTCTGCATCTATGGCAAAGAACTACCCGTAAACCATAAAAATACAGACAAAATATATAAAAATCCTTCAATAAATCGGACTATCATAATTTTTAATTCAATAAATTTGAAAACAAATGACTTACCGATCGTATACCGTTAACACTTGAGACAATTACAATGCTGCCTTTAGTCTTCTCTAAATACGGAACACATAACTGTGTAATATGAAACACTGACCTACAGAAACAAGAATAAACCTTGAATAAATTTGGAACACATAGCTGTGTAATATGGAACACTGACCTACAGAAACAAGAATACAACGTGAATAAATATAGAACACATAGCTGTGTAATATGGAACACTGACCTACAGAAACAAGAATAAACCTTGAATAAATTTGGAACACATAGCTGTGTAATATGGAACACTGACCTACAGAAACAAGAATACAACGTGAATAAATATAGAACACATAGCTGTGTAATATGGAACACTGACCTACAGAAACAAGAATACAACGTGAATAAATATAGAACACATAGCTGTGTAATATGGAACACTGACCTACAGAAACAAGAATAAACCTTGAATAAATTTGGAACACATAGCTGTGTAATATGGAACACTGACCTACAGAAACAAGAATACAACGTGAATAAATATAGAACACATAGCTGTGTAATATGGAACACTGACCTACAGAAACAAGAATAAACCTTGAATAAATTTGGAACACATAACTGTGTAATATGGAACACTGACCTACATAAACAAGAAAAAACGTGAATAAATATAGAACACATAGCTGTGTAATATGGAACACTGACCTACAGAAACAAGAATACAACGTGAATAAATATAGAACACATAGCTGTGTAATATGGAACACTGACCTACAGTAACAAGAATAAACCTTGAATAAATTTGGAACACATAGCTGTGTAATATGGAACACTGACCTACAGAAACAAGAATACAACGTGAATAAATATAGAACACATAGCTGTGTAATATGGAACACTGACCTACAGAAACAAGAATAAACCTTGAATAAATTTGGAACACATAGCTGTGTAATATGGAACACTGACCTACAGAAACAAGAATAAAACGTGAATAAATATAGAACACATAGCTGTGTAATATGGAACACTGACCTACAGAAACAAGAATAAAACGTGAATAAATTTGGAACACATAGCTGTGTGATATGGAACACTGACCTACAGAAACAAGAATACAACGTGAATAAATTTGGAACACATAGCTGTGTAATATGGAACACTGACCTACAGAAACAAGAATAAAACGTGAATAAATTTGGAACACATAGCTGTGTGATATGGAACACTGACCTACAGAAACAAGAATACAACGTGAATAAATTTGGAACACATAGCTGTGTGATATGGAACACTGACCTACAGAAACAAGAATACAACGTGAATAAATATAGAACACATAGCTGTGTAATATGAAACACTGACCTACAGAAGCAAGAATAAACCTTGAATAAATTTGGAACACATGGCTGTGTAATATGGAACACTGACCTACAGAAGCAAGAATAAACCTTGAATAAATTTGGAACACATAGCTGTGTAATATGAAACAATGACCTACAGAAGCAAGAATAAACCTTGAATAAATTTGGAACACATAGCTGTGTAATATGAAACAATGACCTACAGAAGCAAGAATTAACCGTGAATAAATTTGGAACACATAGCTGTGTAATATGGAACACTGACCTACAGAAGCAAGAATAAACCTTGAATAAATATAGAACACATAGCTGTGTAATATGGAACACTGACCTACAGAAACAAGAATAAACCTTGAATAAATATAGAACACATAGCTGTGTAATATGGAACACTGACCTACAGAAGCAAGAATAAACCTTGAATAAATTTGGAACACATAGCTGTGTAATATGAAACAATGACCTACAGAAGCAAGAATAAACCTTGAATAAATTTGGAACACATAGCTGTGTAATATGGAACACTGACGTACAGAAACAAGAAAAAACCGTGAATAAATATAGAACACATAGCTGTGTAATATGAAACACTGACCTACAGAAACAAGAATTAACCGTGAATAAATATAGAACACATAGCTGTGTAATATGAAACACTGACCTACAGAAACAAGAATAAAACATGAATAAATTTGGAACACATAGCTGTGTAATATGAAACACTGACCTACAGAAACAAGAATAAAACGTGAATAAATTTGGAACATATAGTTGTGTAATATGAAACACTGACCTACAGAAACAAGAACAAACGTGAATAAATATAGAACACATAGCTGTGTAATATGAAACACTGACCTACAGAAACAAGAACAAACGTGAATAAATATAGAACACATAGCTGTGTAATATGAAACACTGACCTACAGAAACAAGAATAAACCTTGAATAAATTTGGAACACATAACTGTGTAATATGGAACACTGACCTACAGAAACAAGAATACAACGTGAATAAATATAGAACACATAGCTGTGTAATATGGAACACTGACCTACAGAAACAAGAATAAACCTTGAATAAATTTGGAACACATAGTTGTGTAATATGAAACACTGACCTACAGAAACAAGAATAAAACATGAATAAATTTGGAACACATAGCTGTGTAAACACAACTATGGAACACGAATACATGTTGTAAAATGAAACCTTGTTAAAGAAAACTACGAAAATATGAATTATATTGAACACCAATCTTTAACTGTGTCTTTTTCTAATTATTTATTAACAGTTTGCTTTTCTTCAATAAAACTTGATCCCCTTAATCTTACCTTGCATTAATATTCATTACTTTGTCATACTGTTCTAATGTTTGGGTTTCCACACTCCCCAACTTCCACAATCCCTGCCGAACTAACCTTGATAAACAAAAAAAACAAAAATTAAATCAAGCCATACATCACAGTTTATTATTCCATGTAGATACTTCATCCTAGACAAGTTCCCATAAGAATAAAAGTTTTAGGAGCAATGTGTTCAAATTTATTGGAGGAATATGGAAAGGTCATGTTTTGCCACAAGTGAACAACTCCGACGGTTTCTGTTTAAAATACAAACTATGCACTCAAAGATTTCAAACACTCTATATATCGTTTTTAGCTAGAGGTATAGGGGGAGGGTTGAGATCTCAAAAAACATGTTTAACCCCGCCGCATTTTTGCACCTGTCCCAAGTCAGGAGCCTCTGGCCTTTGTTAGTCTTGTATCATTTTTAATTTTAGTTTCTTGTGTATAATTTGGAGTTTAGTATGACGTCCATTTTCACTGAAGAACTAGTATACATATTTGTTTAGGGGCCAGCTGAAGGACGCCTCCGGGTGCGGGAACTTCTCGCTGCATTGAAGACCCATTTCCATTCTCAATTTTACTCAAAGTTCTCAAACACTCTATATATCGTGTTTAAGGTTATACGGCGCCTGATATTATCCTCTTGGTTCGGTTTTTTTTTGTGTTTTTGTTCTTGTACAATACAGACTGTTTATTGACACAGAATACAAATAGCACAGGGTTTTAAGCAGTAATTGGGACGTCAATAACAGAAAACTACCTGCTGCTGAGGGAAGGTAAACAATTTGGATCAAAAAATGAAAGAGTGTCGAGTTCTTGACAATTTCTCGTTTCGTTAATCAAAATTAAAAAGCATGAAATTGAAATTATTCTCCGATGTTTTTATTTAATTTGAGTTAAACTATCCTTTGTCTCTACTTAAGGTTTTTATTTGTTAAACTTTTGGTTAAGATTTGAAAGATTCCTATGCAAGAAAAAAAGAGACATCGAAATGTGCAACCAATCTTGAGAGCGAAAACTCTTCAAGAATCAATTACAAAGGACAGAAAAAAGTAGATTTCCTATATAGGCCATGGGGTATCGGTTCCGTTTGCATAGAGTACATGTACACATACTCCAGTACTGTGATCGTTTCCGTTCCGGAACTAATTTCCTTTACTCCATCATATACTTACAAGAACATGTAAGTGTCCGTAACATTTAATAGTTTCTTCTACAGCCCTTTTGGTGTCCTCTTCCATTGACAAATCTGCTACTATCATTAATGGCTGGAAAAAAAAGAAACTTTTATTTTACATTGCGATTAAAAATACCACTGAAAAAACAATTATTTCGTTAATTATTAAATGTATACAGGTTGTATTCTTTCACGTTTTTTTCTTCTTTGAAATTAAAAAGTAAAATCAAACGTGTTTCCCTTTTGTTTTTGTAATAGCTGTGTGATTCTAACAAATCTCAACTTGCAATACTTATGTAGAACTCAATGATTGGAACTTTGAAGACAAGTTATCTAACAATATCGATTCTATTGAAAGTAAAGTAAAGTAAAGTAATATATCTCTTGAAAATATCTTGTAATGGATCCAGAGTTTGAAACTGTCATATCATTTGTGAAAGCTGATGTATGATAACCATCGTATTGAAATTACCGACTTGTCCTTCCAAACACCTTAAAAAAGAAAGTGAATAGTCGATGCCTGTAAGGGTGGATGGAAAGTGTTAACAGAATCTAGCATAAATTAGCCGCGGGGGGGGGGGGGGGGGGGGGGGGGGGAATCGAGGAAAATGGGTCATACCAATTAACAAAAGAAAACAGCGGGGTACTATAATAATAAAAAAAAGAGAATAATATGGAGAAAAAAGCAGTGGTGGATCTGAGGGGGGGAGGGGAGGGATGGGGAGGAGGGGTTCCGGGGTTGGAACCCCCATTTTTTGAACGATCAATGATTATGAATGGGGACATATTTTTAAAACGGATGGATCCGCCCCTGGAAGGTTAATGAAATGTATAACCCCGATCCAGACCCTCTTGTATATATATATATATGTTACCTTCACTCCGCCGTTTTTCTCACATTCATCGGCAGTCTTTTTCAGGTTAGCATCATTTCTTCCTGTTATTGCTAACTTTGCTCCAAGTTTAGAAAACAAAATGGCTGTTCCCTGACCTATTCCAGAACTAGCACCTGAAAGAGGAAAACAATAACTAATAATAATAAATAAAATAATAGTATATTCTTTTCAGTCCCTAACAGGCAGCCGCAGTGTTGATTTGTATTGGATGAAATGTATGCATCCAAAGCGCTTTTCTGGATGGATTTATCATTTCAAATCATTTAAAACTAAAAAGTTAAGAATGTATAAATATTACATCATTTAATTCATGACAGTTGATATGTCATTAATACAGAATATAAGCTTTGACTTTGAATTCAATTTCATCTTGTTCATACACCCATACAGTTTCGAGGGGAATTTCTTGGATTTTTAACCTAACACCAACACAGATTTCCTTGTTCGTGTACAGTACATTATACACAAAAACAGTTCATTATTTTCGGTTTTGTTTTAGAAATCCAAATAGAGAGGCAGCATATATGAGGGTGTGGGTGGGGGATTACAGAATCGAGAATAATGGGCAAAATATATAAAGAATAGAGAAAAATGCCCCCCCCCCCCCCCCCCCCACCCCCACCCCCCCAAAAAAAAATAATAGAGAATTAAAAACCAATTGTTCAGAGAACAATTGAAGGTCTTTCCACCCATATAGATCTATTTTGATATGAAAATATTAAAATTCGGTTTAAAATGTCATTTCTAGCGTCAAATGATAGCTTATTGTACGCTGATTCCAAAAATATATGGTTTCTATACATTTTGTTTTAAATAAGGGAGATAATTTGTTACTTCCAGTTTGAAAAATGTTACTTCCAGTATAATTTGAATGTTTTTTTACACTGATTCCAAAAATATATGGTTCTTTATACTTTTATATTAAATAAGTACAAACAATAGCTACTTCCGGTTTACACAAGGTCACTTCCGGTTGGATTTTTCAATGTCAAATGGCTTCAACCTAATGCAAAAAGTACCATGGCTTTATCATGTATTCATATGAGGTAAAAGCAAAGGTCAAAATCCAGAACGTCAAATTTACCTATGACCTTGAGCTTAATTTCAAGGTCATAAACCAAGGACATCAAATCAAAAGACCCTAGGTCTTAATAATATATGGTAAATGAGTTATATCACCATACACGTTATTTTAAATACAAGAGGGGAGAAAACTCTAATTTAATTTTAGCGCACCCTTTAAACCAAAATGTATGTATTACGACATGTCGAAACTAACTATTTAGTAATAATATGTTGTCGTTATCTCATAAGGTTTTTGAAAAGAAGTGAAAATAAGCCAAAATCAAAATATAGAATGTGACCTTGACCTTTGACCATGACCTAATTTTCTTTTTTTTTTGGATCAAGGACCTCAAATGAAAAGACCCTAGGTCTCTATCACTTATGGTTTACCAGTTAGAAATGCATATCACTTAAATCAAATGCATAAGGGGAAATAACTCTCATATGGAGTCTCTGGAACGCTTCGGTGAAAAACCAAACTCAACATCCGGTTGCGAAGAAGTAGCAAACATAAGAAAAACAGTGTTCGGGGAGATAACTCTTACAAAGTAAAGTATTCGGTTAAGCAGGGTCAGTTTTGAAAGCGCATAAACTGTTCGATATCATATACCAAATATCAAATCGACATCTTCCGAAACAACCAAACAGCGAAAGAAAAAAAAATTAGGCGGAAGAAAAAAAAAAAAATCAGAACAAAATCAATAGGTCTTTCCACGGAAAAGTGGAAAGACCTAATAATGTGGTGCTTAAATATAAAGAATAGACAATAATGGGCAAAAAGTATAAATAATAGGGGAAAAATGGCTGAAAAAAAATAAAGGATACAGAAATGAATTTTAAGGATCCCCACCTAGACCCTCTATTAAAAACAAAAACAGTTCAATGACATTCTATTCGGTTTCATCCTGTCTAGCTTAAAAGACAGCAACGTTTTTAGTAATCCAAATAGAGAGGCAACATACATATATGTACATTGATAAACTACATATATGTATAATCTCTCGTTAAAGCCCATATAACTATAAGCAGAACAGTAAATGTGAAACCGGCCTAATATACAAATATAAAGTTAAACAACTGGTTTCCTTAAGATTCATGTGGACCCTTTGGCTAAAATGCAGTTCTGCCAACTTTTGATAATGCAAATGCGTGAGATTTGGCCAAAATCGTAAAGATCAAAGAGAAAAAACAATAGATCAAAGGAAAATGCCGCCAAATAAGCATGAAAATGCGTGAGTCTCTGCGTGAGACTTGGCAGCCCTGAAAATGGCTGCGTTATCACCTCAAAATTTACTCTGAGTATAGACAAACCTGTGCATCTGGAAAAGTTTTAAGGCATAGCATGCCCTAGATAAATAAAATTCAAATGTATTGTATGTTTTAGAAAATTTAAAACTTAACTCGATTTTGCAGTGCACTTTTTTCCGTCCCTGCAGAAGATGATAAAATTAACAAACAGTTAAGTTTCACTTGATATGGTCCACTCAGGTACACAGTTTAGATCACCAATTATTGTCAGGTATCTATTGTCCATGTCAATCAATACAGTTCACTTCAATTATTACCTGTGGGGAAGTTCTCAAACCTCTTTCACAACTTAGTTTATTTTGGCACCTTCTGGAGAAATGAAAAAAGTGCACTGCAAAATCCAGTTAAGTTTTTAATGTTCTAAAACATAAAATGTATTTGAATTTTATTTATCTAGGGCCTGCTATGCCTTAAAACGTTTCAAGATACACAGGTTTGTCTGTATTACCAATGTGTTTTCAACTGATCGGGCGGAGCTTATATTTCAATTTGCATAAGGACAGTCTATTTGAAGATGCGTGTGATAAGGATGATTGCCGTTATATTTATAACTGATTTCTAATCACCTATCAGTGTCACCAAAACATTATAGAATAACGATAATGCATATTTTGCAACTGTTTTTGTTATAGTTTTATTTTCATATCTACAAATTCCAAAATGTGACAATTTTTACATGTTTTTAAATTCCGCTTTACAAGAAAATCAACGGCTGTGTCTCATTATTTATTTTGCGAATACACATTATAGTGTTTACATATTTTAACCAGATCAATGACCATAACTGGACACTTCATTGATGATATTATATATCCCACAACACCTGTCTATAGATGGACTGGTCTATAATGAGCGAACGGGTTAAACTCCGCCCAGTCAAGTGAAATAAATCAAGTAATTATGTCATATCACTGTAAATACTTGTGTGTATAAAAGTAAAGTAAATTCATATCTGTATATCAGTTACAATATTTATACAGTGAAATCTGTAAACCAATCTCACGACTGAAGATCAAAATGCATTGAACATGTTGAATCTGAGATGAAGGGACTTCAGAACATGGTTTCCGGTTTATTCAGGGTTTGGTTTACATTAGTTTCACTGTATCAAGCATTAGTTGTTAGTATGACTTTAGCTTCCCAGATATGATATAATTATTATTTCAGGATATATATTAAATTGCATGGTGTTCGCTAGTGTTTTTTTTTCTCGACATGAAATTACTTCAACACTGATCAATACAGAAAGTGGTAAGCTCCAAGGTAAAACTTGATTAGTTCATGTATTCCTATACATGATCATGCTGAAATCATATTAAAAAAATGCACTTCCGGTGCAACTACATCACGGGTAGTAACCTCGTCATATCGAAAAGCGTTTAGTACAGTGATTTTGTCATAGTTTGGTTAAGATGAACATGGTTGTGTTAAGGGTTTTGTTGACAAACAGTTTCAAAATATAAACATTCGAATAGTTTGTTAAAGGAACTAATGACAACAAATTCAAGCTGGTAAGTATCTTTGTTTATAGCTAATATGTTATCACATCAAAATTTGTATCATATAGTTATCAATTTGACACAGAATATGCTTGCGTATGTCAAAATTTAAAAGTTGTGATTCGTTTCTAATGCACAAAGAAAAGTGGTTTGCTTACTGTCTGCTACATCACATATTTTGTTATGATATAAAACTGCCGTCAATTTTCCCGAAAAACAGCCCCTAGTGCACACAATTTGAGATTACAGAATATTCGGTGTCATGGTTTGGTTCATTCGTGTCATGGTTTATTTCATGTTGAACATGGTTCAGTTATGTGATTCCATCGTGAATGAAGGAAGAGTAACGATCAAAATAAACAGACATTATATATATTGAAATACTCTTTTTTAAATCGTTTAATTTGGAATACAAAAGACATATATACGCACATTAAATGTAGTATTAAATATATTATTAAGTACATGCGGTCTGATTGCCAATGAGATAACTATCCACCTAAGACCAAAATGACGTAGATGTAAGCAACTATATGTCGTCGTACGGCCTTCAACAATGAACAAATTCATACCTTTTAGCCAGCTATAAAAGGCTCCGACAAAATTATATGTATAAACAATTTAAATGAGAAAACCAATGTATTATACAATATTACAAAAACATAATCATTTTTATTCGTTCGTAATAATAATTGATAAAAGTGGACATTAAATCGGCTTCATTCTAATTCGGAATTGTGATTTTTCATATATTTGAATTCTGAACTTGTGTGTATTTTTTTTTTTTTTTTATGTTTACTAATAGTTTGTAAAACAAATAAGTTTTAACTGTTGTCCACGTCACGCGTTAACTTTTTTTTTCGTAGATGGTTGAAGACTTATGGTGTTCTCTTGGTATCGTTTGGTTAGTTTTGTAGTTGGGATACTATAGCATGGGCGTATAACCCCACATCTCCTTTTATTCATCATAGACTGGTTCAAAATAAAACAACAGATATATAGTTTAGTAGAAAAAAAAGATGAACAAAAATTACTTTTTGACAAGCTGATACGTTTTGCAACTTTACTAATTGAACAAGTGATGCCGCTCACGATATCATCGACAGAGTCAATCATGGACAAATAATCTATGTGAAACAGAAGCAGCGCTTTCTGTTTTTTGTAATTATTATCTCAAAAGATAGTTTAAAAGAGCAGAGACTATTTAAATTATAAAAGCAAAATAACAAAAATACGGGACTTCGAGGTAAATTCTAAACGGAAAGTCCCTAATCAAATGGCAAAATCAAAAACTGAAACACATCAAACGAACGGATAACAATTGTCATATACCTGACTTGGTACAGACATTTTTTTCTGTAGAAAATGGTGGATTAAACCTGGTTTTATAGCCAGCTTCACCTCTCATATGTATGACAGTCGCATAAAATTCCATTATATTGACGACGATGTGTGAACAAAACAAACAGACATAATAGTTAAAAATGTAAAAAAATAAAGGTACAGCAGGCAACATTGTGTTATAATCTTAGTCACTATAAAAACAAAACAAATATTTCAACAAAGAAAAACAAAAAGGCATATAGACAAAGCACATAAGCAAAAACGAAAGACAAGAATACTAAAATTTACCATAGCACAATAACACAATGACGGGATGTATAAGTACCGAGCCACGTCAAACGGATTGGGCCAAAAATAGACTAAACAGTTAAAGTAATAATTTACAAAGACAAAAAAAATAGAGTACCATAACACGTCATTAAGATGACAAACAACGTCAGTACTTAGAATCTATACTTAAGGTGGTACCTAACACTACAGGGAGATAACTCTGTAAAAATCAGCTAAACGTTTTAATTACTTTGTATTGTTAAGGAAATATTAAGCTTCTCAATGATCAAAATTAGTGTTTGTCAAACTGCTATATAACCAATGAAATTTTTCTGATAAAGTGGTTGGTTCAAATTTTTTGAAATTTTTATATTTTTGTCAAAGGGTCAAAGTAAACATTTTGTCAAAATTTTATGAAAATTAAACGAGCCAAATTAATATTAGTCAAGGTGTTGGGTACCACCTTAAAGACCATCGTTTATTATTTGTGAAGTTGAAAAGGAATATTTACCCACAAGGTCTTCCGATGAACTTTTTTGGAAAAAGGACGAGACGTTCTTTGACATACCACTGGCTCATCAACTTTCTGCTCAGACACTGGTGACGGTTTACAAAGTCTGAGTAGCATCTGCAAGCTCTTGAATATCGAATGAGTTGGGAAATGTATATCCCATATGCAGGAGAAGTTGGTATATTGCTACTAAGGTTGGAGAAACTGATAATTTCAAAATTAAAATCGTCTTGTTTGTCATAAATTCTGGTACTAAGATGACCGCTCATGCCAAATTCAAGGTATAAGTCTAAAAATGAGGCAGAGGAAGCCGTGTCTGTTGTTCCTTTAATTTCTAGTTCTTAGGGATATATTAATGGAATTCAATCAGAAAAGTCTGGATTGTTAATGGAAAGAACATCATCAATATATATGAATGTGAAATTAAATGATATGGCTTCTTTGATCTTCTTGTTTTTTACAAATGTCTGAAGGAACTCCGACTAATATGAAGATAAGAAGACGTCGCTGCCGCACAGTTCGCTCTCATAGAAATACCGATAATTTGGTGACAAAGTCTACCTCCAAATTCAACAAATATGTTGTCAATAAGAAACTCCAGCATACTGGTCACTTGTTCCTCTGTGTAGCATGTTTTATTTTTTGTTCACTATTAACAAAATATGCCGTATGGTATCCAAAAGTAATAAACGTATAGCGTGCGCTACCATTTTTATGTTGAAAAGCATTGTAGATTTAAATTATTTCTTTTAGACGATTTTTCAATTACACATAGGGAATGGTGGTACACAGGGTTAAAAAATTAAACGTTTTGATAGAACTAATTTCAGAGAAAGATCGAGATTTACATTTATTCAGAAGTTCTTTAAGATTTTTTTTTAAAATCCATATATGGTTAATACCACTACGCGAGTAAACAGTTACACGGTATTTCTGAAAACCCTCTTTCATTGCAGAAAGAATCTTTGTCAATCTAATGGACAATTCTTTCGTCGAACATGCAGATGAGCTGGCAATGTACGGCTGTTTGTATGGAATTTTGTGAAGCTTAGGTATCCAATACAAACAAGGTAAGTCCTCCGATTTGCTGCTCAAAGTAATGTTCATTGAAGCTATTAAGGACTTATGAATCACCAAAATCTCATCCTTGTCAAATGATGTTTTTGTATGTGGGATTACATGAGTGCTTATTTATTCCTAATTCTTTTACAAGACACTCGTAGTAGTACGATTTGCATACTAAGACAAGTCACGTTGTTTAATGTGCGTTTTGCCAATTACAGCATCTAATTTTGGTTTAAAAGGCTTTTTTTCTTTTTAGTCAGTTGGTAAATTGTGTAACCTCGTTTAATTACAAGCGTTTTTAAACAAACTATCAATATTGAGCTGAAACAAATATATATTAATTTGGATCTAAACCATGACAAACTTGATCAAAACCATGACGAATTTCTAGACACTTAACCGAACCATGTCATAACTTAACCAAACCATAGCAATTTCGATAGGTTGCTTATTCTGCGTTAGTTTCTTGAAAACAACAATTCCAATGTAGATCGTTTGACTAACAATGCAAATTCAAACATCTTATTTGCTTTTTATTTGCTCGTTTGAATAGAACTGAGGCAATTGTTCGGGGAAGTAACTTAACACAACCATGTTCATCTTAACCAAACTATGACAAAATCACTGTACTAAACGCTTCTCGATATGACGAGGTTACTACCCGTGTACATGCAAAACCAATCTTGAACAGAACTTCGAACATGGTTTGAGACCTACCATCTCCGGTATTATCTCAAGTTTTTTGGCTCGATAATCCTCTAGCAGTCTGTAAGTGTACATAGCTGTAGTGTCCGAACGTTACGTTCCCTTATTTAATTATACCATTGTATTTAGAACATATATATGTGGGGAAAATTTCAACAACTCAGTTAATGTGATCACACACACACAAAAATATGTATACAAAAAATAATATCTTTAGAGTGTACTGTTAATTAAAGTCTGAAAAATAGGGTCATATTAATATTATTTTGAAAGTTATATTAATTATTCTAAGACAAATAGTATTTGTATAATAATTAATATAACTTTCAACTTGGAATTTAAGTGGCAGTCAGGGAAAGGGGGTAGGGGAATCTTCTTGTATCAATATGGGATGGAAGACAGGGGAGATTTGATGACAAGGGAATGAATTGCCATGTTGGTTTTTTTTCTCTAAAACCTAAACTGTGAATTGCAGAAGAAGTGAACTGCCGCTACTGCATGGATTCCTATGTATGTTTTTAGTTGAACATGTTGAAAATACATATATTGATTGTTGTTAAACCACATTATTCAGTATCCTTACTATCTCGTGTGCAATGGCAAATGGCAAATGGTTAAACTATCTTTAAATCGATCGCAATAAACTGTCTGTATAATGCCAAAAAAAACTGTCACGCTGATTTCCAATCAAAACTAAACCAAAAGTTGGCCATGCTTAATCCGAAATATTGTTAAATGATTGGAGAAGATACACACACAACATAAGATTCCAAAAACAGTCATCGAGCTTGAACTTTTAATTGACAATTAAAAAGACACACTTATAATATGTTATAAGTCAACTCAAATATTACTGTCCTACAACAACTTTAGATATCTTATTGAAGTTTTATATATAACTCTATAAATGGAGAAAACTTTGATGTACACACATTCTAGATATCTATAATTTCATTAATCACTTTAATAAAGTTTAATTATTTGTTGACAACAACTTCAATAAAATGTTACATTAACCATTTTGATTATTTATTGTAACAACTCTTAACATAGAATTCATAAAAAAGTGACAAAAAAAAAACACCTGGTAAAACAAAATAAATTTAACAAATAATTACGTAATGTATCTAAACATTTTCAAAAATGAATTAAAAATACAAAAAAGATTAAAATGTATTTAAAATATAAATGTCACAAATATAAATATATTATGGTTTTAATAGCTAAGGGTTTTCGGTATGATCCCAATTTATATTGGCCATTCAGTTGGGGGCGTAGCGTTAATGAGTCGACCCTAAATAGAAAAATTAAATTTTATTTGAATAATGAATGTCAAATTATAAAAAAGAATTAACAATAACACGATAATAATGTCTGAAGTATTATTATTTCGAAGTTCTGTGGTAAATTTTGGGTGTTCTGTGGTATTCTGTGTTCTGTAGTGTTCTGTTGGTTTCTGTGGTGTTCTGTGGTAAAAAGACGCTCCCATGCAAGGGAAATAACTATGTATACACAAAAAGGAGGGTTATTTATAAAAATTAATTTTGATATGAATACAGTTATCTAGATTTATTTATTGGACCTAATTATTTCATTAATACATTAAACTTAATAAAAAAAAGTACATTTTATGGCTGTATAATGTTCCCTTGCATTTTTTTGAAACGAATGTAACTTTCAAACCCTTGTTTGTACCTCAAATATTTCATCGTATTCCCAAAAATTATAATATACAGAATCATGAATATTCATATAATATCTATCAAAAGCAATCAGAACCTTCTGAGACTTAACAAGTTAATAGAAGGAGGTCACCCAAAGATTTTATTTTTACACACATCTGGGAACAATTATTAGGGTAATTTGGAGTTATCTCCCATTGGTTTGCCATACCTATATGAACCTTAAACGAACCCACATGGAAGAAGTGATTATGAATAAATATAATTATATTCTCCCTCACTACGTTCGTCCGAATATAAAGTAATTATATTCTATGGCTTTAACAAAGAACAAAAGATTAAATGTAGGTGTGCTACTCGCTATAACCTTTAATTCTATATCTTATGTATCAAATACAAACATGATAATTATAGTAATCATAATTACAAATACAAATATACATTAAATCATCCGTGAATACACGTGTCTCTTCTTTAGGCTATAGCGAGAGTCGATGGTCAGAAAGATGACCGCACGGGTTTTAAGTGCAAACGAATGGTCACATGTCATGAATATTCATGAACGGACAACGAACTAAATTTTATATAAACAACACATATTTACATGTTACCTGTGATAAGTGCAATCTTTCCATCTAGTCTCCCGAGTGATGCCATTTGCAATTGTTCTAACTGTAATATTACGACTTATATACCATAACAGTTTTCACTATATATATTGTTCAAGGTTAATTGAGGTTCTAAGTGGGATTTAAATATTTATAATCTGAATTAGTCAATAAGAAATAAAAATACAAATATTTTTAAATAAATATATATATATATATCTAATGGAAGATATCATGACATGTATTGGGGGATGGGAGGGGAGGGTCTGGTGGTTGGAACTCTCCTTTTTTTTATTTTTTTTTATTTTTTGGGGGGTTTTTGTTTTGATCTTTTTTTTTTAAATATGTGAACGTTTCATGGTGTTCCAGGGTTTGAAACCCCTCTTTTCAAAATCACTGGATCCGCGCCTGACATTGTACATACTAAAAATATGGTGATAATAAAAATACAATTATACATACATTTTATTTATTCTACATGTGCCTGAGACATGTGCCAGCAAAATTGATCAATATTATGAGATGATGTTCGTACTAGGTCTATTCCTTGAGATCTATGTGCAGAGCATATTCAGGGGCTGATCCAGCCATTTTTTAAAAGGGGGTTCCAACACAGGATAAAGGGGGATTCCAACAATATGTCCCCATTCAAAAGCATTGATCGTCAAAAAAGGGGGGTTCAAACCCCCGGACATCCCCTCCTTTTGGATCCGCCACTGATATTAGAAGGAAAGAGGAGTAAGTCTTTAAACATTTAAGGAATGTGCTGTTTACTGGTCTTCAAAATTTGAGTTGATTTTTTATACTATTATTTAATCTTCTTCTTTTTAAGTATTGATTTGAAAGGATTTTTATTGTATGATATTTTTGTAATGTCCATTTTTATTCTTTCGGTAACATTCATTCATATTCGACCAAGTTTTGCATGTTTAAGGGCTAGAGTTTACAGATGTTCATATATTTGATTTTAAGATTTGACAAAAGATATGTTTACCAACCCACTATAGTGTATGATGATTTATCACCGTATGACTTATCGCAGGAGTAACGAGTGGGGGTGGGTGTCAGTGGCGGATTCAGGATAAGATCAAAAATGGGGCATAATTGTCCTTAATGGGGAAAAAATGCGTGTCTGTATTTGTTTTATTTTTACGATGTGATATCTCAAAAACGGACAATTTTTCGACCCGTCCCCCTAAATCTAAAACTGTTTGGTGTCACTATTGGAGCAAGTTTTGACGACCCTTGTGGGGCAATAAGTCCCCCCCCCCCCCCCCCCCCCCCCTCCCCCGGTTTAGGGTAGTGTCTATGATGCTCAATATTTAGTTTTCTGTGTAGTGTTTTGTCGACTATTGTTCGTCTTTTCGTTCTTTTTGTTTTCTCGTTGCCTTATTGACCTCTTGGTATATTTATTGTGCCGATAATTATTTTCATGTTCCAAAGATCAAGTCTACAACATTATATAATCAATAGACAATTACAATCAATCGTGAATGTGAAAAATATAGCTTACTGTACAGATTTTAACAAAAAGCAAAACCCATTACGAACAGGCAGAAATAAAAAGCACCGACACGACAAAATATAAAACAATTTAAACGAGAAAACCATCGGTCTGATTTATATGCTAAAACAATCAACAAAAACAAATATCGCATACAACAAACAAATACAATTATAGGCCCGTAGTTTTGAAATTCATTCTCTCCCAGATGCAGGGAGGTGTGAAATGTTTCTTCTTTTTTTTTCGATTCCATAATTTTTCTTTTGCCCTTTTTTGTTTTTGTAGCTGCAAAACGCCAAGTACATATTCGAAGACCGAGGTTATTTTTTATGCACAGGTAGAGAACGTGGCATCGTTTCCATGCATGCACTTCTGGTTGAACGTCCCTTCTCAAACATGACTTTCTCTTTAAAAAGGAGGTAGAAGAAGTTGGGTGGTTGCATGCTTATTCGACAACATTCCAAATATTAACCTTTATTTATGTATTTATGTTTGTCAAGGCAATGTAACCACAAAACAACATTTTAAATTACATACAATATAAAATATAAATTAAACAAACACGTTAGAAAGAAAATAAATGATATTGTATTTCGTGCCCTTCTCTCAGTTCGAATGACCGTTCTATATAAATGACACTACATCCATACTTTGGTCTCGTCGTACTTTACTCGCCTCAAGTGTGAGAATCAGATGTCGTGGGTTCGGCCTTAGGCCGGGTCAAACCAAAGACGGTCTTGTCCAAAGGGGGGTTCATATTCATATCACATTAACAGGACTGATTCTCGTCCTGAAATTGCATGTAATTTGCTACTAGACTAGAAACAGTCATCCATTCATCCACCAATCAGTTGTTGGTGGGTTTATAATTCTATTTACGTACTGTTAACCTCGTAAGTCAAGGAGAGTCATTTATTTTGTTTATTCGTATAATTTATAAGTGAAAACTAAACAATATGCATCTTAAGTATGTATAAATTGACACGCTTGGTCGGAATTTATGAATATTATAATGCATTTAAAAGTCAACAACCAAAAACTTTTATTGAAGGAATTTAAAACTGTATAATTCCATCAAATAAGCTTAGTCTGTACATTTCTATATCTTTCGAATGTAAAAAGTAAATTTAATTGTTATTTTATTATTCAAATATTAGTTTTTATTCATTTTAAAAGCTCCTTGAATCAATAACAACTAATCCCGCTTTGTGAACACTTTTCTGTTATGAAAGGGAGTTTGGCGCATGCGTAGGTAGTAATACACATGCCAACATAAATACGGATTATCTATAGTTCGAAAGAAATATTTAAATTAATGCATATAAGACTTTGTTTGTTAATTTCATAATGGCGAAATGGACATACAGAAATGTCGACAATGTACAACTACCTGAAATCGATTTTGCAGATATATTTTAATCCCTTCTGTCACTTCGGAATATAATAGATATATATTCTATGTCTTAAGAAAATTATCTTTACATTTGGATTTTCCGTATAGATATTTAAATCGATTCGGGATATAATTTTGATATGGAATTGATACAACCGGCTAACACATTCGTTGAAAACGTAACAACGAACAATGTTTTAAAGAAGAATGCTCCGCTTAAGCCACTTCCTGCTAAGGCAAAAGTTGATAAATCTGGATGGTTGTGTTCTCATGGACCTCAACATAGTCCAAAATATGGAATAAGACGAAAATTATGGAAAGGACCATCTCCGATGAATCTCAGGGATGCTTCCGTCAGTGATTCGCCATCAACAGGAACAACGTCTCGTTCGACTGTTATTACCGTCAGAGGCACAAGTGTTACTCCTTGGAAAACCAATATTACAGACATTTGTAAGGCATATGAAACACCATCACCTATGAAGCCATCTAGATTTGAGGATGTTCAGTTGCCACCTGTTTCTTTATCGGCTCCCTTACTATCGGTTTCACGGATGGCAAACATCAACCCCAAGGTAAGAGCTCTCAATTATTTGTTCTTATTCTTCTCCATAGCTCCTAAAAATACCTTGGACCTGTAAGCTTCACGAAATGGTTACTTGTATTTTTATTGATTGGAAAGCATTTTGAGTTTCAGAAATTATAGATGACATGATTGACCAATTGGTTCAGTAACATAGTTTGTCGACATTTTCCCTTCAGGATTATACTTCAACACATGGATCAGTCCTATCTCAGAGTTTCTAGTCTCGCTCAATTAATTTAAAAAGATGTACAGTGCACTCGATATGCCGACTTGTAGTGATTCAGAAGTTTTTCAGTTATCCAAACTTAAGATCCATTTGTGAAACGTGATATTTAGTTACTAGGCGAAAGTCCGTGCCTGGGGTAGAGTTTTCGGCTAAACGTACTCTTGTTTCCATTGCCAATAAACTGGCTATGAATATTCAGTTAATGCAATAGGTTCCTTACAAATAAAGTACGTTGATGAATATTGAGAGGAAATGTTGCAAAGAAATGACGAACATTTAAGAGGAAAATTAATGAATATTTAGTATAAATTATATGTAGACATTTACGTGGAATTTCACCGAAAACAAACAAAATGTCAATACCACTTAAATTAAAAGAAAACGATAAACTAAAGGAAAAATGGAGCGTTCGGAATTTTGATATAAGATATGTTAATCTTAAAGATTTTCTCTTGTTGCCTGAAGCCATTGTGGTAAGCATATAATTTTGGAAAAATATTACCCCCATTTTACCCTCCTACATCCGAACACTGCTGCAATGTTACCTTAAACAGTTTTTTTTGTTCATATCAGCTATATGGCCATCATAGTGTTTAATGCCTTCCTGTACTTTTTTCATTATATGTTCTTTTACCTACCTATTGAGTATTCTTCTGATTGAGATTAGAAGCGAAAGTTTTTAGATAGCAAAAAATGGTTAAAGCCGCTATATGTTGACGTGTCTGTCCAATGCCAGGAACCTGGTAGGTAATTGTATTAGGTCTTTGTACGTTAGCCTCTTTCAGATTTATTCACATTATATTGGACTCGGGGACACTGTCTATATTGTTGAAGACAGCACGTTGATCCCTAGAGAACTTTTAGTTTATGCGTTGTAAGGTTGCTGTCTCATCTCCATTTATCCGTCCTAACCATACTGTGACAAAAAGACACATGAACGGAATTTGATATTTATTCTGAATTGTCTCCCCTTTTCTTCAAATCTGTGAAGATTACTAATTTGAAATCAGAAAATAACCATGTTTCCTCATACAAAGAACAATGGTATGGCCTGTGTAAAGTTTAAGAAGTTTAAGTTTAAGAAAACTCTTTTCCATTATCACTAATCTTATAACATGATTAAATATTTATCCTTGTTTGTTTTTTCTGTGTTTATTGATTTTTCTCAAAGCTAACGGATATAATTCTGTCAAAATACCAATATTAACTAGCCTAGAATGCTTATTGTTTAACATCAAGACGGTTACCTGGCAAAGTATTAAGAAACGAATATTTTGTTTTCTTTCTGGAGACATGTAGAAACCTAATAAAGTAAAGTACAATAACAAAAAAAATAGGTAAAATAGAAAGGAACCTAGTGACACAAAAATACACCTAGAGGCTATCTATGCATGGAGCTATCCTCATATTTTGTCGACTTAGAGAAAAAAGATGACATGTTTGTTACAGCTTTCCCCATTTTTAAAATATTAGAATGAGGGACTGGATAGAGGCCTTTCATATTTGTATTCTGTATGTCCTCTTTTTCTTTATTCTTAATATGTTTGCCCATTTTTCTCTATTCTTTATATTATAGCACACCATTAATCTCTATTCCTTATTTTTTGGACCATCTTTTTTATCCTTTTAGTTTTTTAACCCATTTTTCTGTAGATGTTGCTCATTATTTTCTTGGCCTATCTTTTTTATCCTTTTAGTTTTTTTGTGCCCATTTTCAGTCTGTAGATGTTGCCCATTATTTTTTATACTGCAAACCCCACACATACCCTCTAGTATAGCTGTCAAGCGGTGTTTGTTGATACAAATGCAAATGAAATGCAGATGTGGGATTTAATTTAATGTGACAGCAGCCCGAAGACGCTAAAACTAAAAGACATTTAGGGGTAAAAATTCGGTTTCTACATAAGACTGGTGTCTGTACAAATGCAGCCAAGCTCTAAATCTAAAACATACAAATAATAATAAATTATACCGGTACCGTTAAAGATAAACATGATAGGAAAGGCAATCCCTGGAATATCGTGTCAACTAAAGATATATGATCCACATGCAAGCGCTGGTAGAATGTTGCTACATTATACGTATAAACGAACGTTCACAATAGGAGAGCTGAAGTCATGATCTGAGAATACTTACAATTACTGGAAGCAAGCTCTAAGAACTTACATTTTGTAACTAGCTGATATGAAACCCCAAAGTAATAACTGGAATGATAAACGTTAAATGACACATGTTACATGTATGCATAGGTACTTGGGGACATGACCATTTTTTTTTACCCTCCCCCTTTTTTCCAAAATCCGTTATTTTTTGTTTTCTATCTATTTTAATTATTTTCGCATTTTTCTGTATTATATGAACATAAATATACTAGAAATAACTTGTATTTGTTATTTGCTATCAATTCAAAGTTTACTATCCACAGCGGTCACTGATATATATATATCAGTGACCGCTGTGGATATATTTTTGTTCATTTAATACAGATAAACGCGAAAGTAATTCAAATTACTAGAAAACAAACAATTAACGGATTTTGGCAAAAAGGGGGAGGGTAAAAAAAATTGTCCTGTCCCCAAGTAATTATGATGTTATGTATATTAAGTAAAAAATATGCAACTTACACATTGGACGGTTAGGAGCCAAATTGGGTTGACTATGAGAAGAGTTGGGATTTGTACTGCCATTGGCTAGAAGTTGGTAGGATATGAACATTTGTCTTCAAAGGGGATACATACAGGGCCGCTTTTAATTTGTAATCTAACGAAAAGACCACCTATTAAACAAATAGATAAAAGTGTAGACGCTTACAAAAGATATGAAAAGGCATACACTTATAGTAGATGCTTATAAAAGAAACATATTTTAATATCCAAAAGAACTCTCGTATGCACCAACCTGAAAAAAAATAGGGAGAAGGACTTTTCCTAAATTATTTAAAATTTTAACTGGAAATTTGTCAACTTGGTTATACTTCAAAACCATCCTGAACTTATTGATAATTGTCTCTGTCCGTCTCCAATTGTTACTGATCCATACGAAGACAAAATTATATGTTTTATTTAGTTTAAACCCAATGCACAGTTGTACCCCAATGGGATTGATGACATACATGAAATTAAAAAAATAACACATAATACATCACAAGAATAATAAAAGTACAAGACATAATAAATTATGCATATGCACATTTCAACAGTGTTGTGATTTATAATTTAATATTATTAAACCGAAGCAATAATGATATTTCTGTATTTCAATTCTGCGGTAACTTGTTTCATTGTATGTTTAATTTATTTATTATTATTATAATCATGGAAGTAAAATGAAATATAATACTTCCATGTTATAATTATTATCATCATTATTATTTTAATCTATTGGATATTGACGTCTGCGATTTAATAGGACTTGTAGGTCAATTACTTACATGGAACCTTGGGTTAATCTATGATCAACAATAAAGCGTATAACCTTTTATGTACTAATCGGATTACTCTTTATTGAAGTCGTCTCTTGTAAGGACGTTAGATACTAGTACCACATTTTGACAGACATTCAACTCCTAACAATATGTGTTAAGCATTTTTACACCTTATACATGACTTGTAGACTTTTGTTTTAATATTTTGATATTGTCCCTGCAGTTGTTCTTCAATGCATACAGTTATTGACATCTGGCATGCAATTCCACTTTAACAGACGATAGAGACCCTCTTGACCTTGCATTGAACTGAAAGCCTTTTGGAGGCTCTACTGATATTTTTTGGTGAATAAAATCACTGTTCCTTTGCATTTTGTGAAGTTCGTGTAGGGATTTTGTGTCATGAATTTATACACAATATCACCTGTTTTCATTAAAAACTTTCTTGTTTCCACCAGAACTATCATTGAAATAAAAAATGACTATTGCTTTATGATTGTACCGTGTTACTGTGCAGGTGAGCGATACGTGAAGTGAACTGACGTATGTAGTTCAAGATTGATCTGTAAATTTAAGTATGTGGTTCAAGATTGGTGTAATTGTTAGTCCACAAATGTACAAAATACTAGAATTAAAACAACATTTCATAAATTGCAAACGTCCGAAGCCCTTTTCTGTATTTACCTTCATCAGGAACGCTCGAAACCAAATATTTGAAAGCCAAAGATGTATAAGAACGGAAACAGTCAAAGAGCCATATGACAAAAAAGAACATAAAAATAATAGCCAAATGCATCTATGGTCAACTTTTCCCTAGGGAGTTGAAACTTTAGTTTCTTAATTATTTAAATATATAAACGGACATTTTAGAAAGTTTGTCATATATCATCTCAGTACTATATAAAGTACTGACTATACTGAGCTGATGATACCCCCAAGGACTGGTACAATGTGTGAGATTTGATTAAAAAAAAAAAAAAAAAAAAAGATGGATAGGACAGGTGAATGAACTAACTGATAATATTAGGGTTGGTATTTTTTTTCGACAAAACACATTACTAAATTGGCATAATATATGACTGTACAAAAACTTGAGAAAACGTTTCAAGGAAAAACGGAAGAAAGGACGTCCTATGAATGTGCACCAAATGAATCATTCGGTAAAACCTCGACAGATCGTAGGGTAGCGGATCTGCCGAGGTTTGCCGAATGCAAATGAATTTCCTGCTCAATTCTTTCAAAAAATGGAAAACAAAATTTCTACGTCGTTATCCTTCTTTTAAGTTTTTTTTGTGAAGCTCTGGTAATCCTGCAAAGTGTTAATGTTTATATTCACGGC